CCTGTGATGCCTGACAAGTTTTCTCCTATGCTGGACTACCAGAAGAGGAACTGCAGGCAAGACACCTTTCTCTTTTCTCTCACATGAGAAATCTAGCAACTCTGCTGCCCAGCCAGAGCAATGTAAAGTTCTTGGGGTATTTCCTCAGCAAATTTGAAAACCTCTTGGAGAAGAGCAATAATATAGGCTATAGTGGGTTTGTTTTTTGTTTACTCCTGAAGTTGTATGTACCTAGAGGTCAACCACAAGTAATTGCAAGTTAGATTAGAACCCTTGTACACTTGACTGCTTTTGCAAAATGGGGCTTCCAGCTGGGAATGGATTTGCCCCTGGAAATGCATAGATACTGTGCTGCTAGGATGTAGCTCTAGGACTTGAACCGGTTGGAGGGGTCACGACATGCAGTTGAGCTGCAATCCTAATATTGGAGTCTCCTTCTCTGGAGATGTTCAAGACCGGCCTGGATGCCTATCTGTGCAACCTGGTGTAGGGAACCTGGTTTGGCAGGGGGGTTGGACACGATGATCTCTGGAGGTCCCTTCCAACCCCTACAATTCTGTGATTCTGTGTGATTCTAACATGTGGCCCAGTCTGGTTTGGTATGGTACGTAAAAGGCTGTGAATCTGTGCTGTCAGTCTTCATTATGTTCCAGTGGGATGTCTGGTACAAGTACATCTTTTTTCTTTTAGCACATCCTCTGTTTGAGCCCTGCTTCCATGTTTAAAAGGAGATAAACCTTGCTTATGGCTACCATGAAATCTGTGGTGCACACAGGCTGAGAAACCTTGTGTTTGAAGATGAAAGCTGCCTTTAATATTTCACTGACTTTAATAATTCACCCAGAGATGACAGCCTCAGTCTGATGGGCAGTGACTCACATATGAACCTCTATACCCTAAACCACAGTAAGGGCCATGTGAGGAAGACCTCTCGCATGTATGCGCATATATAACAGAAAGGTGCCTCTTTGTGATCGCAAGCATGTAAAATGCTCTGAAATCAGGCACTGGCCTTATTTCATGTGATTTCAGTGCTGTCAACCAGGTGCTGTTGCCAAATGTGTGTGAATAAGCAGCCCGGTGCAGAGAGAAGAGCCAGCATGTACAATGGTAATATCTAACAGTATACGGACACTGCAGTGAAAATTTAGGAAGTGGGTGTGGGAACATGCTTACTGCACAAAATCCCTCATGCAAAATGCTACTTCTGATGTCTTTCTTCTTCTGCGTGTTCTTTGGAGGTCTGTCCAAAGCAATTATAACTGACTTTTCTACATGTATCAAATATACATGCACTGTGTGGGAAGTAAGAGCTCCAGAGGGGAGGAAAAAGCAAGTGCCTGCATCTGTACAGCAATGCTCACACCCGAGCTGTTCTTTAAAAAAGCAGACAGCATCTCTGAGTGAAAATAGTCAGCTGTTGGTGTGAAAACGTCTGTGTGCCATATTTGAAGAGGCCTGATAGCATCTAGTACTGCTTTGCAGGGCAACTCAAATTGTTGGAACTGTCTTTTGAGGTTTCTTGATCTAAGGCACAAAGACTTAGAGGTAGCAGCTCTCTCAACTGCAAAGAGCACATCCAGATGTACCAAACTGCTGCTTAAGTGTGGTTTTTCCAAGACTCTTGAGAGGTGGAGTGTTATATAAGTGTTTGTTTAGAAGAATGTGTTGTCCACTCATGCAGGAGAGATTCTTATTCCCTTTTTACAGTGTTGCTACCCTTGTTTATTTTGGTTAATTTGAAAGTTGGCAGTAAAGATCTACAGAGAACTTAATGGCTGAGGGGAGAACTAGAGGCCAGTATTCAGCAAGATCATGGTTGGTTTTTTTTTTTTTGTTTTTAAGATTTTTTTTGTGGCACCTCATAAGCTACTTTTGTTCAAGCCCTAAATTTCCTGTCTGTGTGCAGAAATATGGAAGCAAAGATGGGTGAGGGTCAACGTAATTGAAACTTTCACAAAATATAGTCCTATAACTGTTTTGTGAATCACTGTTTTCTGGTGGTTTCCAGTAGGGTTGGTTGACGAGAACCCTTGCTTCCTTAATTCTACATTTTTTAAAGCCTTTTGGTGAGAGAGCTAGGAATATAATTAAAATCAGAATTATGATTCTTAGAATCCTTTTTTGGGGTCACTTATTCTTAAATGTCACTAATCTTGTTTCACAGTCATCATTGTATTAGAAGTGGAACTCTTTCATCCCTTAATAGCTGATGTAGATCCGTACCAAAATCTGAGCGATCAGAAGCTAGATGGACCTTGTGAGTATTGAGGTATCTTGGCTATTGCAGCGAAGGACGCTGACGTATGCCAACCAAAAAGTCCAACTCACATGGAGAGAATGTTGCATGCTTACCTTAGAAATTTGTATTCCTGGATTAATATTAAGGCATAATTTTGAGTAATACAGCAAAACTTAAGCTGAGCTTGATGCCATGGCTATAGTTCTCTATGTGCCTCCTCTGGGACTGAAACTCCCTTTGAATCCTTACCAGGGCTGAGGTCCAGGTTATAATCTCCATCTAGACATCCATGCCACATCAGCTTTAGAGCTGCATATTGATGTCTGAGAGTCAGAGGTATCTGTAAGGGTTAACCCGAGCTACAAGTCACTGCCTAATTTTTACAGATGGTGTGAGTGCAAGAGTGAACCTCAGACTGGCTTGGCAGCGCACACAGATAACTTTACATAATTCCATGCAGATGTTGCTGTAGAATGGTTTTAATAATGAATTGTGAAGTTGAGCTAAACTCCAGCGTGGAGAGAAAACTCAAAATAAATGCAGTGTTTTGTTCTGTTTCAAAAGTAAATTTTCTAACAACGTTTCTGCAATACCGTGATGGTTTGGGAAAGATGGCAGGGGAGGGACAAGCAGTAGTTGCCTTATTTTAGTCTTACTTTCTGCAAACAAAGGCCAATCTGGCTAACTTGCCTGTAGACCAGGAACTGTGTGAACTTACTAAATAAATAAATAAATAGGTGGTGCTGGTGGGGCCAAATAGCAGCTGCTGTCATATTTTTGATGGATTGGTAGTGCAGAGCAAGCTACGGCATTAACAGCTGGGCAGATTTGCTTTCTGCAAGTTGTGGGTGTCATGCACAAGCTGCATTGTGGCACTTACTTGCCCTTCCGCCACTTTCTTCTAGGAGGCTCTAAGTTCTTGCTCTATGTTATTTACTTTCAGTAAAGGATATGGCTTAGGTGTGCTATCATAATTCAGATACCTTACCTTGTAAAGTATGAGCTACCTTAGCAATTTCTGCCTGTCCACTCTAAAACTCCACATTTTTCTTGTGAGCATCCATTTGTACTTTTCTTCTTTTTGTGCTTAATTACAAGCATGTACTGAACTGTGTTTGCTACCCATGTCAATGCATTACTGGTAAACGAGGAACAACCATGAAGATGCATTTTTGAAACTCTCTGGCAGATTCTGAGTGCTTGCTGCTGTGGCCTTCGTGGCAAGAGAATCCACCTCCTGCTGAGGAGGAATAACTAAATTTAAACTTTCCAACCATGAGCTTTGTGAAGCAAAGTTTCCAACCCTCTGCTGGGCCAGAAAATGGAAAGCCGTGTCTGAGCTTGGAGGGTAAATAAATAGAGCAACCTAGCAGCTGTGCTGTGACAAGCAAGGGGGTTTGTTCCTTGGGCCACATGTCTCCCTGCAGCAGGCTCCAGGAAGGAAAATGAGGAATTCTAACTCCTGTCTTCCAGTACAACCTTCCCTAACAAATTTTGATATGAATGTGGGAGGAGAAGGGTTGCAGAAGGGCTGTGTGGCCACCACGTGAGTCTGTGATTTGCCATAAATGTATTAAGTTTGTGCCCCATCTATTTATAAACCAGCCAGCTTGTCTCTGTCTTAGCTCATTACAGGCAGGTTCAGGTTCCTGTGAAATTTCTTGGTTTTATGATGGCCATTAACGTATGTAAACTGTTTTGAAGCACTTGTACAGAAATAACTGCTTTCTCATCTCTCTTTGGGGAGGCTCTGAAACTGGTGTTGAACAATAGCTGGTGCTATTCTGACAAATCAGCTTGCATTTTTGGGGAGATATTATAGAAGGTAAAACATTTCCATTGTTTCCTTAGCTTTTTATTGTCCTGTATCTTAACCCTGCCCTTACCTGATGGGAGCAAAATGTACTTCTACTTGCAACTGAGAGCCACGGTTTGTTGGGTGAGCAGCTTTACATTGAACTTAACACAAGAATCTATAGCTGAATGGCGCCAAGGAAGAGAAGAGGCAAGGATAATTACAACAGGGATGCACTCAACTAAAAGTTGGATGAGTAAGATTGTAGGTGAACCATCCATAGCTGTGACCTAAAGGTTCTCTCAATAGAGTTCACTGTCATTGATGTTTTTTATAAACGGTGATGGAAACATGGAGATTCAGATGAGAAGCCAAATAGCTTGTGCTTACAGCCTGAAGTCATGTTTCAGTTGTTGTTTTCTCCTCTTATTTCTGAGTAGTCCTTCCTGGAGTGTTGAATTCTGGTCATGATTGTTGAATGACAGCCTCAGTGACAAGTGTGCTAGAAGCACTTTTAGCCTAATCTGAGATTTGTGCCCTTCAGTTAGTCTTTTTAACTCCTTTTTTTTTTTTTTTTTCTTTTGGTGATGCACCATATCAGGATTTGTGCCATCTCCTTCATTTCCCCAATGCTGAGGAAGTGTTTCAATTCTGTAGATGTACACATTGCAAAAGCTTTGAGAGACTGAACTGAATAACTCCAATCAGAGTTGTTACGGATAGATTTCAGATTTCTTAGAAGAAACTGTCCTTAACAATTATTTCTTTATTTTTGTGACTCGCTTGTGCACTCATCTGGCACTGTGAGAGTATCTGATAGAAACAGCCTCTTTCTAGGAGGATTCAGAGTGATTTAAACCTACTCTAAATGTTTTGACTCTCTGTCTACCTGTTTCTCAGTAGCATCTCACTATTCTTGCTCTTACTCTGTTGACTGAGCAACTTCTTTTGCTTCTTTTGTAGGATGGTGGTTTGTGAGCACTGCAGAGGAGCAGGGCTGGGTCCCTGCTACATACCTGGAATCCCAAAATGGAACCAGAGATGATTCTGACATCAACACATCCAAAACTGGGGAAGGTATGGAAAGCTTTTTGTTATCAAGGGGAAACTGATACTTGCTTTGCTTTATGCTTTTCCACCTGTAGGAAACAAACTATGAAGGCTCTTATCACCATTTGTGGCTGCTAAACCACTGCAGAACTTCTCTGACTTTTTTGTATCAGTACATAAATTGTTGCAGAAGAAACTGGGGAAAAGCACAAGCGTGTAATCCCTTTGTGACTCGGACTGTCACTGTAACAAAAGTTCTAAAGCAGAAATGATGTTCATTTTAATACTCTTAATATGAAAACAACTTTTGTGCAAGTCCAAGCACTGTGTTCTTGTAGAGATCTTGGATTGTGGTGGCTTCTGAAAGAGAGAATTTGCATAGCTTATCTACAGAAATTATACAAATGAGAGCTGTTAATTGGAAGATGCTGCTTTTTGAAGCCACAGGCGATGAAAAAGAGGTTCAACTTCAGTGGTGGCTTCTCATTACACTTTTTAAATAAATCCTTGAAACTAGCTTAACTGCTGCTTGCTGTGGACTGTGAGTGTGCGGAGGTCTTATTCTGCTAAAAATGAGATACCATTTGTCATGTATATGTATTCAGCAGCACTGCTTTTTTGGCTAAAGATGCTTATTCAGGTTCCAGAAATGGAACAGTACAGCCTCATGTGTTCCCCTTTTCCATTATGAAAGACTAACCACATCTTAATGGACTTTTCATGTAGTAACTGTGTACAAAGGACACTTTTATTATTATTTGCTCCATTCTAATGAATCTCTAGCTAAATTTGTAGGTGCTTTTGACATGATGCTTATTCTACAATGTATGTGGAAAACAAACAGAACTTCCTGTCGTACAGATAGGTTTGAGATGTGTTGGGATGATTCTGCCCATTAAGATAGCTAACAGCCAGAACATTATTTTGTGCTGGACATCAGGAGTGATATCTATGGCTTATTGACATCTTTGGCTCTAATTCTTTTTTCCCTGCTCAAAGCTACTTGTATCCTGGGTCACTTAGGATTTCGAGACCTACTGGTAGACCAATCTGCTATGACACAACGTTTTAGCAGATGCAAAAGCAGTTAGTGAAGTTCCTGCTGGTAAAGAGCAAGCAACTTAATGCTGTTCTCTGAAAGAGTGAAGAATGTCTTGTCTGTTGATATGTAACTGCCTCCCTTTTCCTGACTCTTAAATATGGCGTGTGCTTGACAGCCTTATTGCTTTAACTGCTTTCATTTTAAGATCTCTTCCTTTCATGTTGCCCTCTGGAGTGTACTCTGCACAGGGTTGTTGCTGCATGGCAGTCTTGGTAATGGAAAATCCATCAAATGTTTATTATCTTCTTCTTCTCGGCCCTCTTTAATCTGCTACGTTGCTCTCCTCAGCTATGGTCAGCAGTCACATTCCCTGTCTTACTGCAAATCCAGATACATTGAAATCTGAGACCATTCTTCCCATGTTCAGTTCCATCCCAGTGACAAATCTAATTGCGTTACCTCCACAGCTGCTTTGATGTGCCCAACTTTTCTTTGCTTTTCAGTAACTTTGCTCTATGTTATTAACCACAAGCTGAGGCTTCTTTTGTTCTTCTTTTCCTCCTTTCGTTTTTTGTTTTTTTTTTTCTTTACTAGAGCTATTCTCCTTGCCACATAGTGAAATGTCCTCCTAATATTTATTAATAAAAAGGAAAGGCTTTCTTCAAAAGTTAGTCCTTCCTTATTGTACAGTTCTATGATAAGGAAAGACCAATTCTTGAAGGACGAGAGGAAATGGCTTCAAGTTGTGCCAGGCTAAGTTTAGGCTGGATATCAGGAAAAACTTCTTTACAGAAAGGGTTGTTAAGCCCTGGAATAGGCTCCCCAGGGAGATGGTTGAGTCACCATGCCTGAATGTGTTGTAAAACCATTTGGATGTGGTGCTGAGGGACATGATGTAGCGGAGGATTGTTAGAGTTAAGGTAATATGGTTAGGTTGCAGTTGGACTTGATGATCTTTAAGATCTTTTCCAACCTGAGCGATTCTATGATTCTGTGAGTGTGTAGAAACAAAGATACTTTCACAGACAACTGGCCAACTCTCAGTAAGCAGGTGAAAGGGGTTCCAATAAAACTGGTTGGGTTGCAGTTAAGTGCCCCAGTCTGTGTGTGCAGAGTGTATATGGCAGAAGTGTTTCCGCCTTCTTTTTGAGCCTGCACAACATCTTTCTGTGGGATGAGGGCAGACAGTCAGCTGCTACCTGGGCCTGTGTTTAGAGCATCAGCCTCTTACAAAGTTTGGAAAACTTTTGGAAAGCAATACAGATGAACATTTGCAGCCACAGAAGCTGTTAAATCAGAACTCTGAAATAATCCCCTGAAAGGATTATATACGTTTTGATAAATAACCCTTCTGGTGTCTAAGTATGGATGTTGGGGGGGAGAGGGCAGGGGCATCAGCTGCTTGTTTGGGTAAGTTAATTAATATTTTCTTACTTGAACAGCCAATCCTTCCCTTGATCAAATCACTTTGCTGCTCCTGGTTGCCTACGGAGCGCAGTTCTGGAATCCCACGGTGTCTGCTCTCATGAGTCTGAGAGTACATTCCCCAAATGACTTCAGAGTCAACATAAAGGAATTAATTGATGAAGAGCTTTTGCATTAATCTGATAGCACTAAGCATGCTTCCAACAGAAAGAAAGGCCTTCCATTGGAAGCATGGAAAAAGGAAAGTGTCGAGGTTTTGTGCCAATCCGAATGTTCTGTGTTCACATCTTCACAAGTAGACAAAGGAGCTGAAGTTCAGTTCCATGTATGTAATCTGCAAAACAAGTGGTGTCCTCTGTGCACAGCTGCTCTCACAGTGTCATTTCCATAAATCCTTCATCTTTGTTTATATTTGAAGCATAAGTTACTGTTTGAGTGCAGAACTAATTCACATTTCTAGCTTGTTAGCTTCTTGAGCCTGCTCAAAAACAGGTTAGTTATCAAAATAAGTTTTTATTTCCTTATATTTTTAATCAGTATGTTAGAAGTTGTTTGAATCATGAACGTTATCTGTGGCAGTACTTATGAGTCATATGTTGCAATCAAGGAGACGTCAGTCTCCACTTGAATTCAGTTCCTGAGTGCTGTTAAGTGTGCTCACATATGAGAAGCCATATTCTTTGTTTTTCTACCTGGATTTTTTTTTAACATGATAATTTGCTTAGAGAGGGTTAGAGCTCTGGTTTTGACTGTTGCATGGAATGGACTGAATTCTTCAAAGAGCCTTCAGCCTGACTAGGACATGCAGCAGTACTGTGATATTGATCTGACCTGCCACTGCAGTCACCACGGGCAAGTTTTCCTCTGTTGTGCAGTTTGCTTTTGGGTATACGTGTGTTTTTTCATATTTTTCTTAAAGCCAATAGCAACAGTAGCAATTTTTGACAGTTCTAGGTGACTTATATTTCTCAGGCTCAAGATTCTAACTTGTTTTACTGTACTATATCAACTAAACCGGTTTCTGCCTCCCACCTGATCTGTTTGTTTAACAAGACTGGTGCTTGTAAATGCCATGTTTTGTTTTTATTTCTCACCCTCCCACCATTATTTTTTTTTCCTTTTATGTTTCCATCCATGTTCCAAACTAGTTTCTAAGCGACGCAAGGCTCACCTGAGGCGCCTGGACCGGCGATGGACGCTGGGCGGGATAGTCAACAGGCAGCAGAGTCGAGGTGAATGAATAGCTTCCTGTGGCAACAGCCCTGAGGGCACACTGAAAACCATGCTGCCGCCTCAGCTTTTGTGCACTTGAGTGCTCCCCAGGGTCTCTCTCCCTCGGTACACTGCTGGAGGGAGGCTGAAGCTTCAAAGTTCTGATGTGTGTGTCATATATGAGAGATTGAGGGTATCTTGGAGCCAGGGTTAGGCACCTCAAAAGTGAAAGGCAAATAATTATGTGTAATTCTGTAGCGTGACTGCTTGTGCAGACTGGCAGAGTTCACATCTGTTGTGTTTTGAGTTTGAGCGCATCTGTACTCAGTCTTTCCTACCTCCGCAAGTACAAGGGATACGTTCAGGGCTATGAAGAGCCAAAAAAGAATTCCAGAGTGATCAGAGATGACCAAAGAGATCAGAGATGCGTGCTGGAAAATGCTTGGTGTAGTCTCCTCTCTCCCCTGTAAGCAGGGCTCAGTACTGGAGGAAGAGTTCTAGGGAAGTTCTGGGAGCTTCTGGATGTCAGTCCTAGTTCTTTGAAATGTCACCACCAGCAGCATCTTTTCAGCTTTGGTCTGGTGGGAGCATGGGGGAAAAATCAGCCTCACTTCATGTTTTGAAGCTGCATTTGGAATCTGATGAGGAATCTTCCAAACCAAGCACTTCTCCAGAGCATGCAACTCAACTTTGTTGGAGTAAAAGTACCACTTTCTGTTTTGTTCTCCACTGTCTTGCAGGATCACCCAGGTATTCACTGCACTTTATAAAGGGGGGGAGGGAACCTGCCACTTGTACCACTGTGTGAGTTTTACTTAACCTTACTGAGAGAATGGAACCAGATATAAGCAAAAAGAAGCTTACCAGCTCCCAGTAAAGAGAAAGTGTACTTCTGAAGTTTCAAACTTACCTTCTCCTGGTTTTGGTGGTAGTCCTGTGTGCAGACCCATGAAGATTCCAAGCAACAAATAACTTCAGTGACTTTTTTTAACCTGTGCTTCAAAGTGTCTTTGAGGGAACCACAATAACAGGAGGGGTTATCTTTCCCTAGGGTAGCTTCACCCTGCATTAACCAATACTGTCTTCATAAGGCAAGATCCTGCCTTAGGCACCAGGTACACACCAAAGGTGTCAAAAAACAAACAACGGTAAGCACACATGCTGGCATATAGGGGGGAGAAACAGCTTCTGTACCCAAAGAATTTGGGAGCTACTTATTTTTTCATAGCAAACTCTGCCAGATGCTTCCCAACACTTTAACTAGGAGAACTTTGGGGAATCGGTTTTCTAAGCGCTCTGTTTACCAGTTTATATATATATATATATATATATATATATGAATACATATATATAAATATGTGTTTTCTTTCCTATTCATACTGTACTGAAACAAAACTCAAAAAATGTTAAGGCTGCACGGCCAGTCCTGTAGCATACTGTGCTGGTAATACTCAAGGATCTAAGTTGCATTCCCCTCTTTTTCCTCTTCTACTCATCGTCTGTGCATACATCTTTTCCAGCCCTACCCTCTGGCTGGTGTCATGCTGTCTTCCCTGGCAGTCTTCCTCACCACACAGTCTCTTCTACCCCAGCCTTTGTCTTGCTCTGTAAAAATTTCTTCCCTTTTAGGCCCAAACAGTGCTGGGTTTAAAATTGTCTTGGACAGTGTGCCTTATCTCAAGCTAGATCATGGCAGCATCTCAAGGACTGAACATCTTCCAAGGAGGATCTGCTTGTATGAGTTCCCTCCGATGCATTTCAGCCAAAACTGGCCACATTTGCTAAACCTAAGGTGTATGGTGTTATTTGAGATGTGAGATGAGGAAGTTCTTACAGGAACAGGTTGATGGGAAGTAAAGATAGTGCTCTGAGAACCTGGGGACACACTGGAGGTAGGATGCATCTGGTATAGCAGCAGCCTGTTCAAGCATTCATCCGTTCCAAACTGCATTTGGAGAAGTATGAGTCGTTTTGGGTGTCCAGCCCACTGCTCTCTAACAGATCACGGTTTACATGAGGTCAGTAGAGACTTGTTTTTTGCTTCTTTCCCTCCCATTCCAGCCCAAAAGGCTTCTAACAAGGCCAAATTTGGGTGGGTTTGCACAGAAATGACAGAATACGTGAACTGTGCATATGCTGCTGCTAGCCTTCGAGCTCGTGCTCCAAAGCACAGAAGAACATGAGGCTGCACAAATATGAGGCTGCCAAAACTGCTTAATGCAGGGAAAACAGCTTCCCCTCCCCCACTTGGCCTCTTTCTTGGAAATAAATTCAATTAAACTTTTTGGCTGAAATTCTTCCCACCCAGCGATATTCTGCTTGAGATGGTCCCAGCTTTTTGAGCGGTTAGCTCTGAGAGTTCACCGGAGTTCAAGGCAAGCTAAAAGGATGCTTCCATTCATTAGTGGTACTCAGGCATAAATAGAAACTGTTTTACTGTCTAGTTTTGAGATCAAACTGCTTAAGCCATAACTGAAGATGGATCTGAAGGCCAGGACTTTGGAGGCAACTTGAGGCTTACTTCGTCTTTTTCCAAAGACCTTTAAAGAGGCTGAGCAACCCCAAGTCTCAGATATCTGGGAGTAATGTTGCTGGGTCTGCAAAGAAAGATGAAAGACAAATTATTGAATATCGTAGTAGTGCTCCTTTTATAAAGCTGGAAAAAAATCTGCAAAGAGAACAGCTGTAGTCTGTTTTTACAAAGAGAAACAGATGACATTTGTTACTGAAGTTTTCTCTTTAAAACCGTCTGTGGTGTGCCCAGATCTAAGAGATTATGTTGGTTTATGTTTCTTGTGTAGTTGCAGAGCTTTTTTTTTTTTTTTATTAAAAAAAAAAAAAGTTGAATGTTTCTAGATATGGTATATTTTCTAAATGTTGGCCTGTAGTTTTTTGAGACCCAGCCTAATACAAATGCTGATTGTGAGGAGAAGCTTGAACATTTGTAGTTTTCTTCAGACTGACCCTTGTTGGACCCACAAGGTGCAGAGTTCACATTCTCTTGCACCAGGTGAAATGCTGTTTCTACAGATGCATTTACCTGGAAATTCGCCTAGACGAGAGCTTGGGATTGTTTATGAGCTTATTTCACAAGAAGTCATTTGTGCTATTAGAGTTTGATTGGGAAAAATGGGGGTTTACATGCTGTTTTATATGCCAGATATTTGCTGTAAGTTACTGCTTCTCTGGGTTTGTGCCCAGCATTCTCATTGGAGCTGGTACAGTGCAGGGGGGTACTTTACATTTATTTGTGCCAACAGTGTAGCAACACACAGACTGTATTTCTGTCAAATGAACCTATTATGTAAGAGTAGCTGCTAGCACAAGAAATAGGCTATTGAATGGAAGAGTTAAAGTTCTTGCTTGAAAACTATACGTCTTCCTAGTGCTTGCCCAACTTGTTGGGAGTGATGGAGCAGAGGGGAGGCAGCTCGGAAGCCACCAAATTGCTCTTGAGGCTTGAAGCCATCTTCTTGCCCAAGTGCATCTTTCTGCAGCCTATTTGCCAGCTGTGGCAGCCTGACTGCCACTTTCAAGTGCTAAATCAAATTGGCACAGAGCACTAGATGTAGTTTAGTTTCTTCCTTTTTCTCCTACCTCCTCCCACCCTTGTACTCCAAGCAAAGTAGTAAATGTTTATTACTTCTTGCTGGTTGAATGTCAAGCATGTGTAATACAGAACTGTTTAGAAGAAATGTCATTATTCTTTTGTGTGTGTGTGTGTGTGTGTGTGTGTGTGTGTGTGTGTTGGCATGATGTTTCTGCTATTTAAAGGAAAAAAAAAAAAAAAAAAAGAGGGGACAGGAAGGAATGGGAGAGAGACAAAAGCTGAAGAGCTCCTGTCTGCAGATGGTCACATTTGATAGCTGTGGCTAGTTCTTTTCTCTGCAGAATATTTAGACAAGGAAAGCACAGCCGGTGTTGAGTCGCCGCGTCTCTCTCTGGAGCAGGGAGACTTTTTCCAGAAGCAGGTCTGACAAAGGGGGGAGGGCGAGCAGACTGCTGACTGAGGGGAAAGTATTTTGAAAGAAAATTCTTCTGTGGTTTGGAAGATGTAGGGTTGGGGCTGTTGCATTTTGCTGAGAAATCGTTAATTGGCTAATTTCTAGCCCAGCTCCCCTCTATCCTCCCCCTAACATTTCCAACCAGCCTGGGGTCACAGAAAGTTGGGGGCATGTCCAGGCACCAGCTGAGCAAAGGAAATTGCTCCCTTACTTGGCTCCTGAAGTGCTGTGGATAGCTTGCACGCTTGTTTATGGAGAGAGGAGAGAGCAAACTTCTGAAATCTAGGTGAAGGAGGGGTGTGCATTGCAGGGCATTCAGAACTTGGACACAGAAATGACTGAGCGCTGGCCATTTGCCTGGGAGAGTTGAGACTGATTATGCAGGGCTGGAAATGTGCGTGGTATTTTCACTGCCATAAATGCAAGGTTCCAGTCCCAAATACTTTACAGCCTAAACAAAGAGAATGAAAGCTCATGCATCAAAGGAGCCTGGGCAAGTGGCAATTTGGCATGCATCTTATTACAACCAAAAGGTTTTTCACAGTGGAAAGTGATACTTATTTGGTATTTTTAAAAGCTTTTAGAGAAGGGCTAAAACTAAGCTTGTTTGGCAAAGCAGGAAGCTGGGGTAGGTGAAGCTTATTTTAGTAAGGATTTGAGAGGTTTGGGGTTATTTGATACCATAGAGGAGGGAGCCTGTTCAGGTTGATGAGGCATCATGGGAAAGGCATGGAGCCGAGCACAGAAAGATGAAAGGATTTGGAGGAGTGGGAAATGGAAAGGGAGTGAAACAGTTACGTGTAGTAGGATATTAAAGCAAGATGGTACCCCTAAGGCTTAAAAATGCAAGGTGGGGCAATTCAATTGGATGCCACACCTGATAGAAAGTGGTTGAAGAAGCAGAGTGATTCTGGACAAGAGCAGTGTGCTGGGAAGGTAGCAAAAGAGAGGAGGTGGCTGTGCAAAAGAGGCGGAAGGGTCCGAGATCTAGCTGAGGGGAGCAGCAGTGATAGAAG